CGAGCACCCCACCAAGCATATGAACACAAGATATTTATACAGGTTCAGGCCACTCAGAGGTGTAATACGCTACTCATGTTCTTTTTGTTGGTATCTATATCTGGAGAAATACAAACTTTGCCTTTTTCAAACCAGACACAAGTTAGCCCTTTTTTCTAGCATGTCCCTTTTCTATTATAGTACAAGGAGGGGCTCACGGTGCTACCATTCTACATCCTTTTTGCATTGTCATTCAACCGTCTTGTCAATGCCGTTTGGTTTCCTTCAAATGTCCCCGAGAAACCTACCTAAAAAATAAGATTATAGTGCCCCAGGCTCCAAGAATAAGATGAAGTATAAAACCATTTCTCTGCTTCCAAATGTGCCAAGCACCATATAAAAATTTCTCCACAAAATGAGATGAAGTATATGAAGCTTTTGCTGCTTGAAGCATATCTCCCAAATTGAAATTCTAGTGCCAGACTATAACCACCTGAAGCCAACATTCTTTGCTGAATGCACATTCAAAGAAGAGATAAAAGAAAGTTTGTATTCCTGTCACATAGGGCACAAATTAATTCACTTCTTCCTAGGGCACATTCAAAGTCCCTGGCCTATCCCCTTCCACCTAGGGATGAAAATGGAGCGGATAGTTTCCGTCCATTCCAAAGAAAAATAGGGATGGCAACGGGGCGGGGCAGAGCCGGGTTGGGTTGTAACGGCCCCGCTCCCGCTCCATTGCGGGTCCACCCGGCCTAGGCCCTGAAGTGGAGGATGGGTCGAAATTAATCCCCACCGCCGGCCCCCCCGAGGCCCCGCCACTCGACCGGGGGCCCGCTGCACCTGCAGGAGAGGATTCTTGGAGGAGGCGGCTGGTGGATGCGCCGTCGTGTGACAGGAGGAGGAGGCGCCGCCAAGCGGAGGCGGCGGCAGCGGTGGCGCGGCGACGAACAATGACAGCGTGGCAACGAGCAGAGGCGGAGGCAAGAGGCAGCGCGACGATGAGCAGAGGCGGAGTGGAAACAACGGCGATGAGCGGAGGTGGAGGTGACGCGGTGACAGCCAGCCAGCGGCAGCTGTGGAGGATGGGTGAGGGGAGTGGGAGTAGGGGATGGGGGATTGGGAGATTAGGATTTACCTTTTATATGTCTCACTTACTAGGCCAACTGGGCTTGTATTGTTGGAATGGACTACATTTTGAGACATATCTCATATCCCGAGGCCCCATCAGGTCACACGCAACCGCGCAGGTGGTTTACAATCCCTGCCCCAGCCCCGGAAATTTGCGGGGCCCCGTCCCCGCTCAACCCCGGGTGAAAATCATCCCTCCCCCCAACCCACCGTGGCCCTATAGGGTCCCTGGCCCCAATGGGGAAATTGCCACCCCCAGAGAAAAATGAATACAGATACCTTCCGGAGCGGATAGTTTGGATACATATATTTTCTTCCGGATAAGAATACGGATATTGTTAAGGTTATAGATAAGGCATATCCTATGATCTTGGGTTAAGCTCGGCAGGACCTACCATATACCAAGGGCCTGTTTGGGGGAGCTTAAGATTCTGAGAAGCAGCTGCTGATAAGCTAGCTGGTGAGAATCTGGAGAAGCTAGGAAACCCAGCTTCTGGCTTCTAGTTCATTTTCCAAATTTTATAACTACAGATTTTCATAATCTGGGTAAAAACTGGACTGTTTGGGGGAGCTTCTGGCAACTAGAGATTCTAGGAGAAGCTGCAGCTGCTAGAAGCTCCCCCAAACAGGCCCCAAGTCTTATACGAAATCATGCCTCGCATACGGAAGGTGTTCCAGATAAGGAAGAAGAAGCAGGGTTTAATATTGGAAACTATAAGGAGTACTCAGATTGTATACATTCTTGTTTCCCTAGTTCTACATGGACAAGGGAACATTTGGGTATAAATACAAGATCCCTGGGAGGAGAAAGTGGAGGCCCAATCATCAATACACGCCGCCAGACACAAACACAGAGATAAGCCTAGATATACCCAATCTGGAGCCGCAGAGGCTGACAAGAGGGATCTAGTGTTATCTCTGATCTCGCCAAGTTCATGTTCGAGGAAGAAGACTACCTGTCATCGACCATGTGTGGAGATCCACGCCATCAAGTTGACGATGGCTAGATAGGTTAGCCCAAATATTATACTTACTAGAAAAAATGCATGTGTGTCCCAAATATTCGCATGGATTTTTTTTAAAGAAAATCATGAGCTGCAATTAGGAGTTCAACTTTCGTCTCAAGTTAGCATCCAAGTTTCTTTATAAAAAGTTTCTTATACAATTTCTTTTGTATTTTCAAAAGCGAATGAACTTAAAAACCGACTCAAACAATAATAATGCACTAAAGTACTGGCAAAAGCATCTTTGATTTTTATAATAGTAGAGAAGAGATGCCACGCTATTGTCTCCCATCAGTAATTTTCAGTTTTTATTTCTTTTCACGATAACAGGAGGTGAACAGATATATTTGCTCGTTGGGATCTATTAATTATACTTGACTGGGCTGAAAAAGAAACGATGCAGCGATGCACAGGCAGGCCATCTCCATCAGTATTTCCTTCCAATCTAACCAGGCGCACACCTCTCCCATCGCCACGGAGTACAAGCCAAGTCCATCTCGCTTGATCGTGGCAACAGTAAAACCGAATCGGAGGGGGCAAATGTGCTGCAGACGAAGCAAAAGTGAAACGCATGCGAGCGCAGGAAAAAAAAAGCAACGGAAGCGTTTGGATTCATGTCGGCAATCTTTGAATCGGTGATACCCGACGTATCAAAGCTATAGAACATCTTTTATAATACTCTCTCCATTTTTTAATATATAACGTCGTTGACTTTTTCTTATATATTTGACCATTCGTTTTATTTAAAAATTTTATGCAAATGTATAAAATATAAATCACACTTAAAATACTATGAGTGATAAAACAACTCATAACAAAATAAATTATAATTACGTAATTTTTTAATAAGATAAATGGTCAAACATGTGAGAAAAAGTCAACGGCGTCATCTATTAAAAAACGGAGGTAGTAGTAGAGAAGAGATATAGATAGAGATAGAGATAGAGATAGAGAAGTAGAGGTAGAGAAGACATAGAGACAATAAATATAATAAAAAATGAAGATTAGAAAACCAACTTAAAAACTAATTTAAACACGGATGAAATACTAAAATCCCGGTGAAAATATCAGTAGAGAAGAGATAGAGATATACTACTATATAATTCACGTTGCAAATCTGAAAAACGAAGTACGTCCATGGCTGCTGGACAGCTCGATCGATCGGCACGTACCAAGAAAATGTAAGACTCAAACTCCAAACTGTCGTACATATATACGTGTATGTGACCTCATCGGCATAAACAAATTCGACGTCCACGACACCTCACCGTATTCGTATTTGATACAAATAGTTAATTAATTTTCAGCGATATAAACGGACCAAATGGTTAAGCGACTAAAAACTCACTCAAATACGGATAATGAACAAAAATCTCGACAAAAACATCTTTAAATTTTATAATAGTAAAGATGTGATACAGATATATAAGAGCATCATTGGCTTCAGCCAACAGGAGTAGAGCTATTACCTATCAGTTAAGAGATCCGAACTTGTATAAAAATTCTTTTATCCATCTCTTTATCTCAATATCGTGTATATATTGGTCCCAACGATCATCATACTATGTAAATATTGTAGTCACGACCTATTCCGCCGATAGATATGGTATCGGGGTTTCCGACAGATAAGGATATTCGATGACCAGTGCTATTCGGATATCTGCTGAAGTCGTGAGACATACACCATTTCTTTATAACTCTACGACCTTCAATCTACCTTTTTAGATTTTAATAGTAGCTCATCTCTTAACACTAATACACACTATTAATATTATTTAAACTTTTAAATATTTTTTATAAATTATACTATATTTTATATAAAACAAGCTAATTATATATGATGATATTTGTTTTTATTAGAAGTTAAGGTGGTTTTCATGTTCCAAGAAAAAAAAAATATTTCCGTATTCGTGTCCGATCATATTCAATCGTTATTTGTATTCAAGATAATTCATATTTATTTTCGTATCCGAGCTATTCGTATTCGTTTTCATATCTAGCAAAAAAAAATGAAAACAAATATGATATGAGCATTATCCGTCTATATTCGCTCCATTTTCATCCCTACTTCCACCACCGCCACTGCCTCTTCTCTCCCAGCAAGTAGGACAAGCGTTCGCAAACGGACCTGGCCATGCGAAGGTCATCCTCATCTGAACCTTCGCTATTCCATTGCCATCGCCGCCACCTCCATTGATCTCTTCACCGGTGAAGAAGATGGCCATCACCTCCCTTGTGGCAGTGCATCTAACTAACAAGCACCTTGGCGACGCATGTGGTCAACAAGCTCCTCGGCAGTTGCACATGTCGGGGTTGCACAGAGCAAAATAGGGCGGCAGGCTCCCTAACGGCAGATCGGATTGGGGTAGTGGAGCATCTAGTGGCATCATCCGTAGTAGGTGGGCCCTTCTTCTCCCTAGTCATTAGCCATCCTCCTTGTCCTCTCTTCCCTCACCCCCAGTGGTTACCATTGTCTTCTTTCTAGCCTCCACCGCCTCCTCCCAGCTCTAAATCAAGGCCCCACCTCTCGTAGCTTAGAGCCATGGGCTCATCCAACACGATCGGCGAGACGTAGCTTCAAACACATGATTGCCCTCGTCAAACAAGACACATGTGCTCTCTGCAAGTCAGAAGTAGCTCTAAAGGGACACAACTTGACTCGAGCTAAACTTGCAGCTCCAACGTGGCCGGTTAAAGCCACTCGCCACATAGACGTGTTGCGAAGGCTCTATAGCCCCACCAGAGTCCACGAGTCATGACCACACATTGCATCCGTCACCACCTTCTTCTAATTAAAGCCATTCGGCTAGGATGGAGTACACCTTTTTTTTTCCTCCTCATAAGTCATAACTAGATGGAGTACTACTGATGTGAAGTTGACCTTTTAAGAGAGAGAAGAAGAACAAAATGGAAAGAGCCATTGCCTGCCTAGCTAGCATGGTCCAACTATAAAACCCCAAGGCGGCAGCAGCAGCCAGCAATAAACACCATCAGTACACCATCCATCCATCCATCCATCGTCTCATCCTACCACAGATCACACACACACCAAGAACACCTAGCGGCGAGCTCTTCGCCCTCGCGGCCGTTCTTGGCTTTGTCTGGCTCGGTTTGCTTCTGCTTTTGCTCCTGCATGCGCCGCGCAATGGAGAGGAGGCCTCGTGACCTCGTCGCCGTCCTGGCTCTGTCCTGCCTCCTCCTCCTCCTCCCACTGCTCGTCTCCTCGGTGCCCATGTCGAGTAAGCTTTCGTTGATGGGTAGCTGTTTCTTGATTCTTCTCCCTCGAGTTCTTGATCTCTGTGCTTAACTGTTTCTTGATTGTGATTTGTGTGTTGATTCGTTCTTGCTTTTGCAGGAAGCCTGCACTTGAGCAGCCAGCAGCAGCAACACCCGCCGTCTCTGAACCTCTCTCCAGATGTAATTAATCTTTCTCATCCCCTGCAATCTCTGAATTTTTTCCCCCTCCAATTTAAGTTTGTCGACTTTGTTGCTGCAAAATCACAAACACTATTCAGAATACGGGCAGCACAGTGCTCAAACCAGTTCTGAAACGAAGCCAAATTCTGAATCAAACTAATAGTGTTAGTGACAGCAACTCTGACCATGGCTTGTGACCGTTCTTGCAGGAGATGGCGGCGGCGGCGGCGGCGAGAGGGCTCGGCAGGAGGCCGGCGGCGAGGATGGACGTGGAGGTGAACGACTACCCCGGGTCAGGACCCAACAACCGCCATGACCCTCCCAAAGGTCCTGGGAGAGCATGAATTCAGTCAAGCTGAAGCTGCTGCTGCTGCTGCTGCTGGAACAGCTTGTAGTAGTTTCATATCCCTGCTAGCTATTAGCAAATTCACATAATTAATCCAGCGTCTAATTACATAAGTCGAGAGGCTGTATGTGTGATTTGGGGTGTAATTAGTAGAGAGCAGATAGCTAGCAAGTTACAACTGCAGATCGAATTGAGAAAATATTCAGGGATGAAGACTGTAAAGCTTTTGCTAGCTTGGGCCTCCTCTTTGCAGCAGTAGTATAGTAAGTAAACTAGTAAATTAATTAATCAGTGATTTTGTCGACATGCATATGCACATGAGCACATCACGTTGGGATGTCAATATAATACAGGATTAATTAATCGGTTAATCAGATATTGGAAGCTTCTTCCTCCTCTCACTGTCGAGACCGTCGTGTCGAACGATTCAATTCAAAATCAAGTGATGAGTGAGTGTTTAAAGGAAAATATATAATCTCGTCGCGATCCCAAGCTGATCACTGCTACTGCGACTACGGCCACTCCAATCAGTTAGCACACTGATTAACGCTGCGTCGATCATTGGTGTACTATAATCATTGCTCCCTCTGACTAACCTCACGCTGCATATGCGTCTGCCGTTTTCTCGAACTAGTAATATTGTTGTTTAATTTCTGGAAATAACCTGTTGAGATATTCCCCTCGGATGCCACAACACAGGGGCATGTTTTAAGAGGTACTCCCTCAATCCCATAATATGAGTAACTTTAGAGGGATATAACATATCCTAATACAACGGATTTGGATAGAGAGCCTATCCAGATTCATAACACTAGAATGTGTTATGTCTTTCCAAAATCCTATGTGCTTCCATTGTTTGCTCTACAATTAAGTGAAAAAAAATTAATGAAGCAAAAAATAAAAATTTATAATAGACGAAAAAAATGTTTTCTAGTGTTTTAGACACCTTTTGAAACCGAAAAATCAATGGGTAAGATAGATGTGATAATAGAGATAGCAACAAGGAAGAGGGAACGGAGTTAGAAGACCGAGGGATCATATTCTTTTACTCAATCTCAAAGCAATTCTAGAGGTTCCTTTCGAATGTACTCCCTCCGTCTCAAACAAAGTCAAACCCTGGGTTTCCGTGTTCAACTTTGACTATCCGTCTTATATGAAATTTTTTTATAATTCGTATTTTCATTATTGTTAGATGATAAAACATGATTAATATTTTATGCGTGACTTGTCTTTTTATTTTTTTCATAATTTTTTCAAATAAGACGGATGGTCAAACATTGGACACGGGAAGCAGGGTTTGTCTTTTTTTGGGACGGAGGGAGTAGTAAATTTACAAGAGTGATTCAGACATATTTCGAATTACTACCTCCGTTTTTTAATAGATGACGCCGTTGACTTTTTCTTACATGTTTGACCATTCGTCTTATTCAAAAATTTTATGCAAATGTATAAGATATAAATCACACTTAAAGTACTATGAGTGATAAAACATCTCATAGCAAAATAAATTATAATTACATAATTTTTTTTTTGAATAAGACGAATGGTCAAACGTGTGAGAAAAAGTCAACGGCGTCATCTATTAAAAAACGGAGGGAGTACATATTTTGAATATGTAATTCGGTTTAGCTTTTCAGTGACATGTAAAATAAAATAATCCAATAACATATAATTAATCAAGTATTAATTGTTATACGGTTTAGAAAAAACCTTTTAAAAAAACACATCATTTTACGGTTTAGAAAAACTAACGAAAAACAAGAAAGTTATCGTCTAAAGTTTTAGTTTTAGAAGCGAACGCAGCTGAATTCAAGTAAGATTGCTTTAGCATTTTTCTATTCTGAAACAGGTCTTGCCGTTAAGAGGTGGCTGAGATTTAGCATTTCGTTGCTATATAGAATCCATTTGCTGCATTTGGATGAGGAAGAATCCGCACAACATTTGCTAGCAGCGGGCAATTGCAGGAGAGGCTCTTACCGGCACGCATTACGCAGTTTCGATGGAGCCCTTTGACTTTGTTTGTACCCCTATATGCGCCGAGGAATAAATGATCGCTAGTACGCTGACAACAACAATGGCTGCAACGAAAGTGACGTGGCCAGTGCTTCATCTGACGCGTCCCGGTAGAAGAGGAAGCCAGGAAGGAACACTTCCGGCCGGTTGCAGTCTCATGCATCATCTCAGTATGACACCGCGGGTGGCAACTGGTGCCAGGCAACCATGGAAAATTATGTACGATAAATCACTTATACAGTGAATACCTAAAATTATTATTAGATTAAAAAAATAATGAACTTTTGAGATTTGTTCACGTTATCCGAAGTAATAATTTTACTCATGGATGTGATGTCCACATATGCAGTTTCCGCAACCACGACGGTTTCATGGCACTCTGTTCCTCCCCCAACTATGCCACAACAGCTAGGGCACCGAGGCGGCTCGGGAGTTGGTGTTGCCTAGATCCGGCCTCTCCTCGACCGGTACTGATGAGGAGACTGATGGACATCAGGAGGCCGGCGTAGTAGAGGACGTGGTGGCGGTGTGCGATGGAGTGGCACACGGTAGAGTTCAGACACGGAGGAGGCAATGAGGGAGAGCCGGAGAGGGCCAGAGCCACTAGATCTGATGCCTCTTGGGCAGTTCCAATGCCCTCCCGCTGTCTGGATCTAAAGCCTCCCGGGCTGTTGCGAACGTGGACCGACGATGGAGATGATGTGCATTGGGACCAGAAACGAGGCAACGGGGTGCCGCCGAGCAAGGGTCGTTGTATCCGCAGCAGGGGAAGGGTGGATGCGGTGAGCAAGGGCCTGCGACGGCGTGGTGACACGGCATGAGAGGAGAGGGGCCTTGCGGTGGCTCGGAGACATGGTGGATGTGACCCTGTGGTGGCATAGCAATATTAATGTAGGAGACAGTGGTGCTCGTTGCTTCGTGTCTACAGAAAGGGTGGCGTAGACTTTTGGGGTGAGGGGGCCGCGGGAGGAGGGGTGCTGCAAAGGAGCCGACGAAGGGTCATCGATGCAGTGGAGCTCCTTGTCCGATGAGAAATAGCAGGTGGAGTAGCATCGGTGTGGCAGAGAAGGGCATATGGCAGAATTCGGTTTGTGGTGCAACGTCGAGGTTACAACAACAATGAGAGGTATGTTATAGGCGCCTTGATGACATTTCATGTTCGGGCTGATAACGGTGGTGCTCTAGGCAATGCGATCCCTCTTGAGGGCGTACGTTGTTGTGATGCCTCCTTCTCTCTCTGGCGGTATGAGTCCAAGTTTGACAAGCAGCGGGACCTCCTTGGAGACGTCATCTAGGAGATCCTGCTTTTCTTGCCTGTTCCATCTTCGATCAATTCAATTTTCGGCGACATCTTGGATGTTACCATCGGATCTATTCGAGAGAGAAGCAGAACTTCTCATCTCTCGTCCCCTCCCTCGACAATTCTTTCTACATGGTGATGGCCGAGAGCCCATATGTATCTTTTATTGGGCTAGCGGTATCCAGCCTCGCATAGCATCGACTTGATTGGTGTCCATTCCTTTCCCTGTGAGAGTGTATAGGAGTTGTTAGCACACAATGGTGCTTTTTTTCCCCTCCTTGATTATTGCCTCCCGCGGTGGATTGATACTGTTCGTTCAACAAAAATTTCCAAAATTCGAAACCAACGTCGATTCAACAATCCGTGACAATGGAAACTAATGGCTAATTAAGAACAGTTACCCCACTATTGGAACCCCTATCATTAAGTGGGTACAGTACAATGTTTTGTCACGATAGTTACGCACGCACAGTACGCGTGTCACGGGCCACCGCTCGCCGGCGCGAGCGCATGCAGCAGCAAGCGTGCGCGCGTACAAAACCGCCGCTGTCTGGCTTGTCGATGGGCGGCGATCGATCGCCCGACTTTGACACAAAGACTAGATTCCCCTGCGACTTCCACATCGAAACGACGAAACCACACACCGCTACGCACTGGAGAAGACTAATATCCATGTCAATTTCTGCACGATTTCCTCGTTTTGCTCTTATTAATTAATCCTCCGATTTCTTCATATCATATGGTTCCGTCCATAGTGGTGGGCAGAACTGTGGATGTATGTAAGGCTATCTTGTTATCCAATTCCATGGATATAGTTAGTTAATTAATCACACGCACGTGCGGCAGAAGCCATGGACGGCCGTGTGTGAGTACGATTCGCCTCTACCCCCATGCAAATTAATATGGATTATTACCTTATTTTATTAATATTATGCGTGCTTAGCCAGTAAAAAAAAGTGTTGGATGATTCGATGCCTGGAGAGCACCGGATTCCGGAGGAGCCGTGCACTCCGCGAGCGGCGGCAGCAGCAACGCCGGCGCGCGCGGAGCGCGAGTATCATCGTGGCTGCTTCCTCCCATCGCTTTCCAGCTCGACGTACGTACGTACGCCGCGTTGGCGACGTGGTGTATAAAAAAGGCATCTGCTCTACGTTAGATCGGATATTTGATATTTGGACACTAATTAAAAGTATTAAATATAGACTAATGATAAAATACAATCTATAATCTTAGACTAATTTACGAGACAAATCTATTGAGCCTAATTAATCCATAATTAACCTATGTGATGCTACAGTACACATGTACTAATTATGAATTAATTAGGCTTAGAAAATTTGTCTTGTGAATTAGCTTTTATTTATGCAATTAGCTTTATTATTAGTTTACGTTTAATACTTCTAATTAGTGTCAAACATCCGATGTGATATAGAATAAAATTTAGTCCCAGATCCGAACATCACCTTAGCTGCGGGGCCTCGGCCTCCTCTCGCTCTCGTTGTGTTACACATCGTTTCTGCCGTTCTGGCTAGGGGTCGATGGGGTCTCCGCGCGCGACGATGGTGACGGCGCCGACGACGAGTCGACGTCGATTTTTCTGTTGCCCGCTGCGGCTGCGAGTGCTCTGTGGGCGGCAGCGGCCAGCGCCGGGGGGATTCAGATCAGGTGAAGTTGTATATTGACTGCAACTTTAGCAGTCGCGTGATCCACCACGTACAAAATTAATGTAACGGCCAAACGTTAAGGCAACCCTGCACATCGTCATCTACCTCAGCCCAACACCAACACACCAAAGCCAAGAGGCCAGAGCATGTCGACACGACGGCGCTGTGCTACCGGACCTTGCGGCCGGCGCGCGCCTGAGCATGCTGCTAGCTAGCCGCTCCTTGCCCGGCGCCTTACCGCCGCTCTCGCTCCTCAACATGCCAACCCCAAGCACCCGCTTGCCCGCTTCCGTCATCAACTATATATTCATCTCCCCATCAAGCAGACCTTGAACATATGCTGATATGCGTGCGTGAAGTAGAAGCTCACCATTCCTTAAAAATAAAATTGAAGCAGAACACAGCCTCAATTAATTAGCAGCTTA